GTTGTTCTGTTCGAACGATTTGGCGGCGGCGCGGCCGAGTATGAGGCAGGTGGTGCGGTTTCTGGACGGCGAGATCGGCGTTCCCGACGAGATCACGGCCCCAAAAGTGGTGGAAGGAGGGAAGAATCATGGCGAAGGATTTGACGAATTTGTGAATTCGTTTGCTTCTTCTTCGTTTAACAAATTGAGCTCTTATTCATCCACTGGAAACAGAGATATGGATATGAGTTTTGCTTCTTTCTCCACTTCTCCTCTTTCGCTTCTCAATGGCAGAGACTGACTTAGAACCACAGAAGGCTAAAAAATTAGCATTATAGAACGAATCTCTCTCTATGTCTCTCTCTTGTTCATAATGTTACATATGATTTTGGTGTAAATTCAGGTGAGATTGATTAATGTATGTTCCTTTGATCTCTGTTTTGAAATTGTAACAGTAACAGAACAGATGATGAAAAAGCGAATTGTATTTGATTGGAAGCTGAGAAAATGGGAGCCAAAATTGAGGTAACATTTTGATGTTTTCTTTTATTCCATTTTTGCTTTCCGAAGCTTCGATTTTCATGTCTCTATGTTGCTTCTAACGCGCTAACACAATAGAGAAACTAAAGATAAATCAGCTTCGAAAACGGAACTTTGATACTTACAAAAAGGAAAATGTAACTTCTGATAAAGGGGTAGAAACCAAGTGAATTGGTGGGAGAAATATCAAAGCTTGATTCTAGCGATTTGTATGGGTTGGATTAAGCTATTCCACTAGGCCACGAAAGAATTGCACGAATGGGTGGGACCTGTTGGAATTTTATCCATATGGGCCACATATCTAACCATTTTTCCTATTTTAATCAAGTCGACGAGTATAGTTCAGTGATAATTGATATGACATATATCTCCTATCAAAATGTTGTGAGTCTGATCTCTCACCCATATGTTGTACTAAAAAATGATATGATCAAATCACGTGTAAGTCTTAGTATGGTAGAGTAATTATAAATTGAACCTGTGTAAAATGTGTAGATATAGTTAATTTTTAATTAGAAATAACAAAACTTTATAACTAACAAAACTTTATAACTGATAAATGGTTTTTGGCCCATTACATAGAAGCTATGATTCTTTTAAGTCACGTACACCTCTTTTCCATCCCTTTGGAGAGAATGTTCTTCTACAAGTAGTAAAGAAAAAACTTAGAGTCTTTGGACAATCAAAATCCCATCAATCCACAGCCAATTATGAATTAAAGTAGGCTTCCACTCCTTTAGACTTAATTCTCTTGAATTCGACATGGAATATAGATTCCATTGTGGAAGACACAATTTTTTTTGAAGAATTCGTTATGATATATCTGATCCATGCATAATATCATGAAAAATGAATACAAATTTTTGGCTACTACTTAGTATCGACATATATATTTGGAATGGATTCCATTTTGAGAGAGTTGAAAAAGCACTATCTCGTTGAAAGGTTCTATACATCTGCCCTTTCTCAAGACATGTGGCTTTAAGTTTTTGGTTTTATCTTTCACGACAACACCCATCTTTAACCTCCATTTTTCCATGATCTTCATACACTTAACTTCCCACTTATTTTCAATAATTAGTTTATAATGTTTACCACTTCTCTCTCGTACTCATAATTTTTAATTAATTGTTTTACAATTTCATTCTTTCTTTATTATTATTAATTTGAGTTTAAGGTGGAGTAAAATTCAATTTTAATTAATGCTCGACATTTATGATAGTTTGACGACATACATGGTGAAAGCCAAAAATTTCTGTAGTTGAGATGGAGGTTTATGATTTAACACATTGACATGTTGTGCCTTTTTTGTCCTCGCATAATTATTATTTAAGTATCTCTCTCCTCAAAGAAAAAATATATATATATATATCAACAAATTTTGACAAAATTTTTCCTCGTCCTCTTTTTTCCAATCTCCAGTCTTTTGGTCCGCTCTAACCTCTCTCCCCTCCCTCCTAACATTAACGAAGGAAAATATATATTTTTGGTCCCTGAGCTTTAAACTAAATATCTATTTGATCGGTGAAGTTTAAAAGTAACATTTTTAATCCCAAAATAGGTATTCATTTGATCCCTGGAGTTTTAAAATAAACATTTTTAATCCTTTTAAGTTTGAAAAATAGTCTTAAAATGGTACTTAAATTACTTTTAGTTGACTAATGTTGAAATGACGTAGCGTTAATTAGACAAAATATTAATTTAATAATATATTTTATTATGACCGACTTCCCTCGTTTATTTATTTTTTAGAAAAACTATCACTACCTTTTCACTTCTTTCTAGCTCCCTCATCTCAAGGCGAGGCTCACCATCGATTGCTGCAACCACCGGTGAAGGTCGTCGAAGAGCACTGGCGCCTACAGGACTTATAGAGGTGCCTCGACTAGAGAAATTATAGTTACTGTAGTAACAAAATTTAGTATTAGTGGAATCACAAGGTGGGCAAGATGAGTGCTCTTGCTCCAGCGGAGGGCCAAGTGGCTTGGTGGCGGTCTTGCGATGGTCGCTGGCGTCAGAAGGCATGAGTACAGAGAGAATTTGGGAAAAATTGTAAATGGGGTGTGTAAATTGGAGTAGAGAATTGAGGAAGAAGAAGACAGATATGATTTCTAGAGAGAGGGGTTCGAAGAAGGGGATGATAGG